TTAGTGTAGGTTTACTTTCCTTAGTAGTTGATTATGTAATCTTTCCTTTTATGTTAATTTCCTTCTACAGTTATTTGTAACCTTAAAAATAGGGTCTTCTACATTGTAATATTAACAAGTTTATTATATACAATTTATAATATTCTTCACATGGTATCAGAGCCAATTCTTTAAAAAAAAAAAAAAAAATTTCTCTTGTTTTCTTAATAAATTTTTTTTCTCCCGGCGGGAGGAGTTTCTTTTTGCTCCTCCCGCCCGGTCTTGTTAGGGTATTCGTTAAATCTGTCAATGTAGTTTCCCAATTTTGAGTTTTTGTTCTTTTATTTTTTTTTCTCTTTTCTGGTGACATGGTGATACTCCGGGTTCCTTGTCCAGTAGTTTGGATGAACTAATGCGTCATGCTTCATCATTACGGGGACCAGGAGTTGATATGCTGATTGGAATTCTGAACAGAATTGCACAAATTGGATCTGGACTTGCATCTACCTCTCTGTCCACAGATCATCCAAGCTGCTCTCCACCTGTTCCCTTGGAAACTGAAGCTGAAAATAGAGATATTGTTTCTTCAGATGACAGAGATTCATCAGTTGGCGTCTTATTCAGTTTGGGCTTCCACCGTCAACATTCTGTGAGTTTGATTTCAGTTCGGAACCCACCTGTGGCCGCCGGACGTGACATACTGAGATTTTTTGCTTAATCAGTTTGGGCTTGCAGCTACAGTTTCCTTTCCCTTGCTTTTCCTTGTTTTGGGTAATGAATGGGTCTCTTCCATTGATGAAGGTGTGTGGGCTGTCGAAATTTATGGGTTGTTGTGGCGAGTGCGGGGATGCTGCCGTAGTGAAGAGAGATGTAGGCGACAAGAGGAGTTGCTGAGGTTTCTGGGAATTTAGGGTTGGTTTATGAAATCGGGGAAGACGATGTGGTGATAGTGGGCTGAATAGATTTGAACGTTGCCACGAGATGGGCTAGTGTTTATGGTTAGTGGGTTATGTTTTTTGGGTTGGGCCTAAGGTTTGGGTCAAACAGATTCGTGAGCTGGGGTGTGTTAATAATTGAGTTGGGCCACTATTTATCTCATCCACTGTTGGGTTTTGGTTGGGCTGAATTTAATTACTTGGGCCTTGGGAAATTAATTGGATAGTACCTATGTAATGGGTTGAGGAAAAGATGTGGGCTTTGTGTTACAGATTTGGTTTTGGAGTGGGCTGCCTTATTAATTTCTTTTTGGGCTTCTTTGTGTGGGCTGTTATTTCACTTGGGCTGGTTTCATTTATTTGGGTTTCAGTAATTAGGCCAGCTTATGGGTTGGTGTTTGATGGATATGGGCCTGGGATTTATGGACTGTTGGATTAAGGTTAT